GTGCGGGAGCGCCACGTCGCTGTGGCGCCGCTCGTGCCGCGCGCGGGACACCCGGGCGTGCATGCGCATCTGCTGCTCCTCCGGCGGCGCTTTCACCGGGTACCGCGCCAGGTTGGGGTCGCTGCGGTACCGGGTCTGGTAGTCCTTCTCTTTGCGGTGCTTCTCCTCCGCCGCCGCTTTGCCTTCCTCGCGCTTCTCGGGCCCATCAGGGTAGTCCTGCGACCGGCCTTTCTCCAGCCTGCGGGTTTCCCGCCTTTCTCTCCGCTCCCGGTCTTCCGCGGCGCCCTCCCGGGGCTGCACGGAGGACTTTGGCACGCGCTTCCTCTCGCCCTTCAGGGCTCCTTTGCCATTGGGCTCCGAGAGCCCCGCAGTCTTCTTCCTGGGATGGAATCAAGGGACGCTGGTGAAAAGAGAGCACTTGACAAAGACACAAGTGAAGACCAGGCTTAACAGTTCGCCAAGTTCCATATTTGAGCCCTTTCCAACTTAAAACTTGAGATGATAAAGAATCCCATTAAAGCTATATAGTTTACTTCCTAAACATGGCTCCTCCTTTGCATTATGATATTTCAGGTACTTAAAAGGCTTGTTTTCACATCTTAACCTATTGACCATATCAATAGAAACCATCAATAATGTATTTTAATAAATCAGCAAGTTTTTGCTAACCTCTATCTGTGACTAAGATGTAAGCATAATTGATGGAAATCGCATGGATAGTTGTACACAAGCAAAAGATTACATGTACTTATCAGTTTATTTGGCCAATATGTCCATCTTTACTTCGCATTGTTAAAAGAAAATTTTGTCAGAAATAAAAGCTAATAGCACTTCAATAGGAGAACAAAAATCATCTCTACCCAGGTATTTTTACGGGATAAATAAAAGTTCAGAACCTTACAGTTGCTTTAACGTCTTCAGGCAGGGTTTTGTTGTTGTTGTTGTTTGTTTGTTTTTAACTCTTTTTGTATGTGTGACTCAAACACTCTTATGCATTCTCCTTCCCTGTCCCTTCCTACCCCTGCCCTCCCTCCAGGACAGGGTCCACTAGAAGAAAATCCTGCTGAGTTTTCATTCCCTCCATTCTACTCAAGACATTGACAACGATGGAAGAGTTAGGTCCCTCATTCAATTGCTTCTCAGCCTTCTTCTGTACACAATACACCCCTAATTTTGGAAATGTCCAGAAACTATTACACAAATTATAAAAAAGTTAATGTGTTGGCTACGTGTTCCCCACACAGTATTGTTGAATGCCCGATAGCTGGAGTAATCTCAGGCGCATAAGGAGCCCTGGTGGTGTGGTCAGCAACATGAAGGCAGCCGTTTTCTCCTCTGGAGAAAGACTAACCACAGGTACAGTTCTACTCTGTTTTGTAAAGTTGCTGTGTGAGTCAGAACCGACTCAATGGCAGTGCCTGTTTGTTGTTGAACAAGTCTAAGACAGTTTCTTCAGTGGGTACAGTTTGATTGGAAGTCCAAAAATAAACACAAGAGCAAAATACAAGCTGGAAAAAGATAAGGCAACTTCCATTATGAGCTCCCACGCAATGGGAAATCAGTCTGAGCACGGGTTGAGGGTCCTAGGGAGAATGGGTAAAGGTTTTCAAATGTTATAGGAGAGACAAAACGACAGCATGGCAAGTTCTGCATAGATCAGATTACAAAGAGTCCTGATGGCTAGGTGAATTACAGGTTGGGCTGCTCACAGCAAGGTCAGCAGTTTGAAACCGTTAGCCACTTCAAAGGATAAAGATGAGGCTTTGCTTCTGTAAGGATGCATAGCCTTGGAAACCAATGGGGGCAGTTCTACTCTGTTCTCTGGAGTCACCATGGGTCAAAATTGACCGGATGGTAGTGAGTTTGGTTTTAAGGTTTTGCCATTTGTAGCTGAAAATAATCCAAATTATGGCACTAGAATTTTAAAATATAAGTGCATTAGTCTGGGTACTTGGGAGAAACATCCACAGCAACCCATGTATAAGAGAGAGTTTTTTTGTAAAGAAAATGTGTATCATGAAAACATCCCAACCCAATGCTGCCCAAGCCCACAAGTCCAACATTAACCCATTAACCCAACACCAGTCCACAAAGTCCTCCACCTCACAAAACAGAGGCAATGATGCCGACTGCAGGAGGAAAGCTGAGTCAGTGAACGAACAAGCATCTCAGCACTAGCAGGGGTCTCCATACAGCTGCTCCAGCACCCAGGCTGCATCGGGATAGGTCCATGTAGCTTCTCCTTGGGGATGTCTTGTAGGAAGTCAATCTTGCAAGCTGAAGCAGGGAACTGCTAAGGCAGCTGCACCCGGTGCAACCATCACAAAACAAGAGACCCGAGAGCTAGAAAGGCGAAGCTCACCACCCATTTATCCCTCCGCCTTTCAATTAGCCCCACATGTGATTATCGGCCAGGTTGGCACAATTAACTAACTCAATAAGGAATCTAATATAATCAAAGTGTAACCCACTATGCCTCCTAGGCTCCTAAGCCAAAGCTCATTGCTACTGAATCAATTCCTACTCACAGCAACCCAACAGTCTAACATGGTAATCGTTATCAAATGTAGCTTTCCTAAACCAAAACCAAACTCCATGCCATTGAATTGATTCTGACTCATAGCCACCCTATGAGAGCAGGGCAGAACTGCCTCTCTGAGTTTCCCAGACTGTAATTCTACAGAAGTGGAAAGTTGTTTTCATAAAGGAGTATAAAAATTGTAAATAATTGCAACATTTTGTTGCTCATTGTGGTAGTTATGTAATCTGCTGTCAATTTGCGAGGATTACAAGTGAAAGGCTGGAGTCTGGCCTTTTATGTGTAACCAGTACAGACATTTGTCCTTCTATGATGGACTGTTCCCTAAAAAGTCTAAACAAAAAGCTTCTTCTCAGTCCTTATTCTTGACTTTTTTTCCCCTCTCAATTCTTCATCCTATATACAAAAAGAACTCATTCTTCTCTCTTGCAAAATGTCATAGCTCCACATTTTCATTAAAGCAATCACTTTGACTAGTCCCAAACTTCCCCTTCATTATTTTTATCTCTTCTTCACCCACAACAATTGATCAAGTGCTATTGATTCTACCTTCATTGAAGTAGATGTCAAATCTTCCTCTTCTCTTTCCATTTAATTCATATACCCTCATTTTCTCCTCCTGAAATGTCTTTTTCTATGTTTCCAGAACAATTATGGTTCCCAAACTATGAGCTTCACGAAGACAAATTTTACGTCCTCATTAATAGGGTTGCCCAATGAAATCAATCAACCAGTTCAAATAAATTATGCTACATCATGCTTAAAAATCTTCACTGACTTTCCATTTTTTCCCCACTAGGATAAAACCAACACATTTCAGTCTGAGAAAAGACCTCAGATGGCTAACTCCTCTCATCGCTCTGCTTTCCCCTCGGTTACTTGCACTGTACCCCATGGGAACCTTCAGGCTCTGCACATTCAAGTCACCCTGGGCCACATGCCTGTGCACGACACCCCACCCCTTGCCCGCTTCATATCTAGTCACCTTGACGCTCAGAATGAAGGGAATGCCCTCCCGAGTAAGCCAACAACATCCCTTCCAGTAAGTGAAGTTTCTATAAGCCGTCTCAAAGGAAACGTTGATGAACGTTTCTATGTGTGAACCATTTCTATGTGTGAATAAATTATCTGAGAGCTTTTCTGAGAGCCAGGTAGGAAGTTAGTGCAGTTGGATGGTGTGGTAGGTACTTTCTGCCTTCACCTTCCTGCTTGTGAGCCACCATGACAGCTGTGATATTACCACCCTGTGATGTTACCACCGCCACTGGATCCCCATGACTTTGCATCCCCAGTGCAAAGTGTGACAGACCTGTATTTTGCATCATTGCATGTGATTGTGTGAGTCTGAAGAGGGACTCACGGACTATAATCAGACTTTTAGACTTGAATTGGGCTGGACTGGGATGTTTAAGTGATATGATATAAAGGTCTCTCTTACACATAATGAGTGTCTCTTGATTTGTTTCTCTAGTCAAACTGGCCTAACACAGATGGTTTAGCTTGTATTTACTACAGTGTTTATAAGGAGGAAGAGCTTTTCAACAAAGATATCCTAAGGGATACTACACAAAGCACCTCAGGCCACCTTCTGCCTTCTGTGTATGGCCTCTTAATAAAAGTAACTTCTTAGGGGGAAAAAATAAAATATCAAGCAAAGCCCATCCTTTTGCATGTAGAGGTGAGGAACTGTTACCTGTCTCTAGCAGGTTCACTTCTAGACCTGGACGAAGGCTGCTTCTGCTCGGCCCCCACGGCTGGCTGTGAGGGGTCAGCCCCCTTACTCCTGTCTGCTTGTGTGCTGGGAGGGCCAGTCTCCTGGCTGGAGGCCGCTGCTGTGCTCAAGGGTGTCTGAGACCTCGATCGCTCTTGGAGCCGCGCTTTCTTTTCTCTGGGCACCTCCGAGCCGGCACCAGTCGCTGTGTCACTCAGGGTTCCATCTTGACTTGGCTGCTGAGGGCCACTTCCAAAGAACCATGCCCCAGATTTGGTTAAGATTTCTTGTTGCTTTCGACATAAATTGCACACCCACATAACCTATTTGGGGAAGAAAAGGAGAGATGAATTTTCTATGCTTTCTGGAAACAGTTTCTTTTCAACACACAACATATCCATTAAAGAGAAATGAGCGGGAGGGCGGGGCGTCGGCCCCAGCTGAGCTATCCCGTCCGACCGCGCCAGTTTGAATGAAAGCGCAACAAGATGGTGGCGGCCGGGGCCGAGTCGCGAGGAGGTAATCACAAGTGAAGAAGCTGAAAGACGGGGCCAGTTATATGACAACAAAGGAATCACGTATCTCTTTGATTTAGACTATGAATCTGATGAATTCACAGTGGATGCAGCTCGATATGGAAATATATCTCATTTTGTGAATCACAGTTGTGACCCAAATCTTCAAGTGTTCAATGTTTTTATTGATAACCTCGATACTCGACTTCCTCGAATTGCATTATTTTCCACAAGAACCATAAAAGCTGGAGAAGAGCTGACTTTTGATTATCAGATGAAAGGTTCGGGAGATATATCTTCAGATTCTATCGACTACAGCCCATCCAAAAAGAGGATCAGAACCGTGTGTAAATGTGGGGCTCTGACTTGCCGAGGTTACCTCAACTGAGTTGTCAGGAAACTGAACTGATGATCATTTTAGGATTTTTGTTGTTCTTTTTGTTTTTCCCCAAATGTTAACAGTTCAGACAAGCATTTGGGTATATTTTTCATACTCTCAAGATTATTTCTATGTAATTTATCATTCAAATTCCATGTTTCAAGACGAGCTAAATGCATTGCCAAGGCTTCCGGAGAGGGGCACAGGACTGTCACACATGGACTTACTTGAAATGTACATATTGTTGGATGCCAAACAGCAGAAACCTATTTGCAGACCAACAGACACATACTTAAGTTTGTACATAGAAAAATGTCTTTCGGCGTATGCTAAATACAGAACTGATGGGTAACGGTTGCTAAGGTCAAGCATTCATTTTGCCAAACACCTTGGAGAAATGGCTTACCTAAATTTGGACAAATATATAAATTCTACTTTTGCTATGTTGTCGTTCCTACTTACCTACTTAATACTTGCTGTACCTGTATTTGAGACAACTAGGTGACACCAAGTTTTATACTCTATTGTTTACTTTCATCATTAATACACTGGCATCTGAGTGATATAAACATTTATTGTCCCAACGGGGAGGCAAAAAAAAAGTAAAAAATTAATTACAGCGTGATTTCCTACTTTGAAGCTATGAACACCTTTGTGGGAGGACTATGTGGTCTGATCCAGTGGTTCTTAAAAGACTGATACCCTATAGGTGAAGACTGAACGTGCCTCTAAAAATCCAGAACATATGGCCAGTGTGGTTTTTTGAAAGAACCAAGTGGGTGTTGTGGAGGAAATAGAGCATTTTAAGAGTACCTCTAAAAGATTTAGGTCTCCAGGTCAAGGACTTATGATCTAAACACTACGAGATCCCTGTGAACAGCTGTATGCAGTGATAAGGTTACAGACGATGCATTCACATTACAACTCTGGGTTTTTTTTTCTACAGATGCTTCGTTGAAAATAATCTATATTTTGAACTGATAGCTTTATACATGAATTTCTTAAATGTAACAGAGCTAAACTTGAGTTGGGCCAAAGTAGCTTTTTGTGTGCCTGAATTATATGAGATCTTTAATTGAATTACATAGATTTAAATGGGATCTATTAGGTTTCTTATTTGGGGTTTTGTTTTGCATTGTAAAGCCTCAATCAGTCAAAAAAAAAAAGAAAGAAAGAAAAGTGTTTTTGTCTCCTTCTGATTTTGGGATTTAAAATCATGGTGTCCAATAAGCAGATAAGTGCAGCAGATAAATTTAGTTGCAGTATTCGTAATTCAGTTTTACCTAAACTCATACTTAACGGTTTAGTGGCCTAAAATACAAGCCTGCCTAACACTGAACCAACAAAAAATTTAGCACTTCAAATTTCTTAATTCCTAATCTAACTTCTTGGGAAGAAGTTAGAGTTTATTTGTTATATTGTTATCACATAACTTTCCTCTTATAGAACAAACATGTTTAGAGCCTCTAGATATCTGCCAGCCAACATTTGCAGAATGTCTGAAGGCAAAACAGATTTTTTAAAAGCCATTTCTGATATTTTCTTTATGAAAAATTAATGATGTAGTATCAGCACTCAAAAAGGGTCACAAGCTTATAGGTGGCTCCCAGTTGGCAGACTCCCTTTAAATTATGACTTTCACAGTTTGAAGGATGTAATCTAACATTTGCTTTAGAAAGTCAGGGTTTTACTGTCTTGTTTGAGCTTATCTACTTGTTTAAAAAGTATGAAACTGGAAGACAAAGGAAAAATGGTTATTTTCCGTAAACCTGTTTTGTCCTTATTAATAGAAATTTAACAGGCCTTTGAAATTTTAAGTGTGTTTGTTGCCCAGTGTTATGAAAGAACTGAATGAACCCAAGCAGTAAAATAATAGAAACTATGTACACAAAGCTGTTAGGAGCAGTCAACTTTTATGCCAAGATGTAGCTGCTTTACTTACCTGAAGTTGTCAGAATTTGTGTTTCAAATATTGAGCAAATATTCAAGGGTAAAATTTAGGTAAGTTTAAAACATGAAATGAATTCATTGTACAAATTATGTCAATACCATTGTTTTCAGTGTCTTTCTAAGGGGGTTGTGATCCACAACTGGTCTTCTCAGGGTTTTCCCCACAGGCACACAAGATAGGCTGCACTTTTTGTTTTTTCTTATAGCTGAACCATTTCTCTTTAGCAAAATAAATTTAGTTTGGCGTTTGATGTTCAAAAAAAAAAAAAAAGAGAGAAATGAGCGGATGTCATCTTTATACACATTCTTGTAAATATCTTGTGAAAACGGTCCTTACATAAGTCAGGGTCAAGTACATGAACACCTGCACTCGGATCCATCTGAAATCACAGCAACATGAATGGCCAGGGAAGACCTTTTTCTATTGGCATCTCGAATTCTTTGATTATGGATTTCGCTTTCCCTTATCTCCTTGACAATCTGTATGAATGCATCTTAAGTTTCATTCAAATGCAGGTGGTCCTAATTTACAATGTATTCAAGTTAGGACAGCCACACTTACAACCTCTGTTACTGGTCTGTCTGCACGCTGTATCGTTAGCAGTATATTCTACATATAATGGTGTAACACATAGTTTGATGATGTGACCATTCTCAGATATTCACTTGAAGATGTTCTAAGACTATTTGTAAAGGTACTGGTAACAAGATTAGAATTTTAAAAAGCAAGTTATTTGACTTACATAAGACCTGATTGATGACGTAGACGTCATAAGGGAACCTCACCATAAGTTGGGGCCTACTTGCATTGTGTCTCTTAGTAGAAATGTTCTAAGCAGGTTGTTTGATTAGAAATGAGAAACATTACAAAAGAGCTGGAAAATTATTATTTACCAAAACCTGAGGGGTCCAATGAGTTAGGAATATATTAAGTTTCCTCAAAATCATCTGTTACCGAAGCCAGTTTTAAAAGATATTCATGAAACAACCAAAAGGGTAAACACAAAAGAAAAGGTCAAGCTTCTTATTTTCTTTAGTTAATTAGGAATACACTAGCCCCAAGTTTATTTTATGCTATGAAATGTAACTTTTCATGCACATATCATACAAAACAATTACTCGACTGATGTAATGTTGGATCAGAATTTAGAGTCACGTCCACTAATAAATTGTAAGATGTATCACTATTCCTAATGAATCCATGCATCTGTGCTGCTTATGGTGGCATTAGAAATGATGGTATAAAGAAGTAACCGTAATCACATGGAGTGACAATCTATACAGCAAAGACCAGTTTGAGTATCGCCAGTACCTCTCCTTCATTGTAATATACTTCCACCTTGCCTACGTTGCCCTCCTCTGACTGCACGTCAGTGCGTCTTTGTGTTTCAGAAGCAGTGATCCTAGGACTCTGATTACCAACCCCAGGCATTCTTTTCACAAATACTGACTCAGTCCACAGTTACTCAAATCTACTACACAAAGGTAAATAGATTATGGCTGTACTAAGTGAGAAATAATATGGGGCAGTGGCTTAGTTACCCAGTGCTGCTACACCAGAAACGCCCCATGTGGATGAATGTATCAAAATTTTAGTTTATACAATTTAGGAGCCTAGAAGTCCGAATTCAGGACACCAGCTTTGAGAAAGGCTTACTCAGGTCTCCGGGAGGGCTCCTTATCACTTGCCGCCTAGGTGATCCTCCTGCGGTTGACATCTATCTTTCTCCATCTGTGCTTCTTTCCCTTGCTTTTAAGTTATTTGTATCTTAAAACAAATTTAACACTAATACTATCTCATGAACATAGCAAAACAACCCATATCCAAGTTGAATTCAAACCACAGGATGGAGGCTAGGATTTAACACTTTATTTTTTTGGGGGGGGGGGTTACATTCATAACACTAACCCGCCAAAAATTCATTTCCTTGTCACATGAACAATATATTCACCTATCACATTATCTTAAAAGTCATAAGTCAACTCCACGTCCAAAATCTCATCATCTGAAACAAATGCGCTTGAGACTTTAGGCATATTCTATCCTGGCCAATAGTCCTCTTCCTCTGAAGACATATGAAATCCTGACTAAAAATTGCATGACTGTGTGGTAGAGTGAATTTAGGAACCTGGAAGTCACCCAGAAAGAAGAGTCACCAGGGAGTGCATGCAGGTGCCTGTCGGAAATAGCAGAGGCAGCAGTCTCCAGAGGCTGCAGGGCTGAGACCATGTGCAAGCACAGGAGCAGCACTGAGCTGTGAGGCAGAGTGGAGGTGGGTTTCCTGGCCCACAAAAAGAGGCAGAGGCCAAAGGACCATGTGTTTGAGAGGCCAAAGACCAGAGAGAGACACGCCGGCCCTCATGGCTAAGAAGAGGTGCTGCAAAAAAATAAGTATACCCTTAATATTTTATAATGTTAGCTTCCCCAATAAAGCCCATACTTGTGAGTTCTGCGTGGCCACTGCAATGAATTATTATATCCACCAGAGAAGAGGTCTCATGGGAGAGGCAGTGGGGGTCAGAACAGAAACGAGGAGGAAAGAGACATGCCTAATGTTTGCCTTATATAGGAATTATCTTTGGACAGCTGTAGAACTAGATTCTCCTTTTCCTTTGTGTAGTCAGAGTTTTGAAACAAAATCACAGAAACCTGGATTAAACATATATTAAACCTACATTAAACAAAAATATCAAACTGTGAAACTACTGTTTCTTGGCAGATCCTCCATCTAGAGTTATATGCTTCTGAAGTGGTGCTTCCAACTCTAAACCTTCCCAGAAGAACTGTTGCACTCCTAAATTTTCACTATTGATCAAAACAGCAATTTTGGTATTTTCAGGGGACTCAAATTGTGCTCCTTAGAAATGTTTTTTGAGATTTTGGAAGAAGAGTATTAAGGATTAAAATCAAGATTGTTGGTTGGATGAGTTATAGTTTCATAGTAAAATTCTTGTAACACAATCCTTACTTTTTGGAAGAATGAGCAGAATGCATTGTCATGACAGAAAAAAAAAAACATCCTTGGAATAATTTCGAAGGCCTTTAAAAACCAATGCAGTTTCCAAGTTTCTTAGAAATTTTTCAGAAAAAGCCCCTGATGATCCTGTATCATTTGATAAAATCTATTAAGATGAGCCCTATGAAACCCCCAACACAGTCACCATTACCCCCTAAGCTCAGTTACCTCTGCCTCTGAAGCCACTATTTTGACAGGACCTTTTTTGGGCAGGCATTGCTAGGTGTCCAAGACAAGTTTATTACTGAGCAAAGCTGTCTACACTCATCCGCTGATTGTAGCGTCACGTTCACACACATTTTTGTTTGAAATAAAGCCATGAATGTATGAACTGAAACCGCGGTAATGAGACTTCTTGATTCACGCTCACAAAAATCAAAAATACAATGTTGAAACAGCCACAAGGTAGACATTTCCACTACAAATGGGAGAAACCGCTCTCTCTTCTCCAGCGTAGCCTTCAGAACCTAGT